GATTTCTGGGCCTCATCTCCGGAAATTGTGTTTCTTTGTTGTAGGGTGGGGCCACAACATTAAGTAACAAAGAAACAATTTCCGGAGGATGAGGCCCAGAAATCAGGATTTTAAAAAGATTCCCAGGTGATTCTAATGTGTAGCCAAGGTTGAGAACCATTGCTCTACATCATTTTCAACAAATGCTATTGATTCTACCATTAAAGTGTATCCAGAATTCAATTCATTGTCACCACCTGTATCCTAGACTTTAGGCCACACCAGCTTTCTCACCTGGATGAATGCAGGTCTCCTAACTGCTCTCCTTGCTGCTACCCTTGCCCCTGCAGCCCATTCCCATCACAGCAGCCAGAGTGGCCCCTCTAATACCTCAGTTCAAGCTTGCTGCTTTTCTGCTCTGTTTCACTCAGAGCAAAAGCTAAAGTGCTTGTAACAGCCCATGGGATTCTGCAGCATTTCCTGCCTCCCCCCCACCCCCGAAACCTTTGTCCCTTGGTCTCCCTGTCACTCTCCCTCCTGCCTACACCCTTGTGGCTCACTGGCCCCTTCTTTCTCCATTATCCCAAGCATGGTCCTTTGCCACCCAGGTCCCCTGCCTGGATGCTCTTCCCTCAGGCATCTGAGAGCGCCTGCGCTTTTTTTCTTTTTCTGGTTCCTGCTCAGATGCCACCTTCTCAGGGCGGCCATTCCTGAGCCCTGACACACAGTGGCACGCACCTCCAGACACACTCCCCGCCCCTTTGCTCTCTGGGGTTAGCCCCCTTGGCCTGTCCTCTCTCCTTAGAATGAGCTTCCCAGGATCTCTCCCCACCTCTGACCAGCGCCCGGCACAGGTGGCCACACCAAATACCTAGGGCAGTGATGGCGAACCTTTTGAGCTCGGCGTGTCAGCATTTTGAAAAACCCTAACTTAACTCTGGTGCCGTGTCACATATAGACATTTTTTGATATTTGCAACCATAGTAAAACAAAGACTTATATTTTTGATATTTATTTTATATATTTAAATGCCATTTAACAAAGAAAAATCAACTAAAAAAATGAGTTCGTGTGTCACCTCTGACACGCGTGTCATAGGTTCGCCATCACTGACCTAGGGCCTCGTTGAATTCCGCCCGCGGTGGCTTGCCCTTTCCCACCGAGGTCACTCCGCTCAGCCATTATTTCTTCACGTGCAGTCTCTTACCCTGACCTCCCAGTCACCGAATCACCGGCTGTGCTTGTTAAAATGCAGGCTCCCCACCCTGCCCACTTACTCAGTGAGACCTCTGGGGTGGGGTGTGCATTTGTAACAAATTCTCAAAACTTGAGAATTACTGCTCTGTTTATTGACAAGGTTAATTGGGCATCTGACCCACTGCTCTAGGTGCTAAGAATGCACAGATGATGACAGCATTGACCTGGGCACCCAGGAGGGGTGTCTCGCATGCTGGATGCTCCCACAGATCCGTGATGAGCCCAGCGCGGTGCCGAGTTCTAGAGGGACCCACCTTTCAGGGTGTGATGCTTTCAAATACATTCGAGTTGTGTGCTCCACGCTGATAAACCTGATCTGTGGAGGTGGGGGCTTGGCAAAGAGGATCCCCAATTGTCCTTGTTCATAGAATGGCCCAGGGGGACTAGGCGAGGCAGGAGACTGCATGGGAGGCCACAGCTGATGGGTAGTGGCTGGCTTCTCAGCTACTCCTGTTCTCCCCCCCCCCCATTCTTGCCTCTGAAACGACAGGCCCTTTTAAGGCCCAGGAGTTTATTTTGTGTAGGGGACGACGGGGCTCTGGCCCTGGTGAGGGCTCGCAGCCTGTCCAGCTGTGGGTCAGTGGCTGCTTTCTGCAGACAGGCCTGTGGTCGCTAAACATCCTCTCCCAGGAAAGTTACTCGTTCTTACCAGCACTGTCTGTTCAAAAGTATACTTTCCCTTTTTAATATTAGAGACGCGCTTTCCTTATTTTCAAACTAAGACAGCTGGCAAGACTTTAGGGACCTGACACGATGACAGTGGAAACTTGGCCTTGTGTGGTTCTGTTGTCAACTCTAACCAGCCGCCCTCTTCCACCCACCCTCCATGCGCTGGGGGAGTAAGTGTGTATCAAGCTCAAAAGAGTCCCAGTTGCTACTGTCAAGGAGCTTGTAGGCTAGGGATGACAATAGCAGGGAAAAATAAGAACTGCAGAAATAAAGCATTCAGATCGTATAGATAGTTTCAATGGATGCATTATTCAATGCTAATAATATGCCCTGAATCATTTTTGCATGTGACTCTTTCTCAAGCAGCAAGCTGCTGTAACCACAAGCCACAGATCTGTCTAAAACGTGATTAAAATGAAATCT